ATAGGGAAGCTCCTGAAATTACTCCCCTAACTTCCTTTTTCTCTGGATATTTTAACCATTATAATGTTGATATCTTCTGAAAGACTAGGATTACAGAAGTAAATCCTTCTTAATCACAACTCACATTTTTAGATATTTCCTCTTCTAAGAATTGAAAGATATCTACTCCCCCCCCCACATCCCCCATCAGAAATAAAACATCAATTTGGTAGTTTAAAACAGAGAAGAAGGAACATGACCAAACAGAATGCTTGGAATTTGAAAACAAAATAGTGTGGTAAGGCCATCACCATTTAGGGCCTTGCTAGAAATTCATCTCTTTCTGCAGGAGATGAATGTTTAAAACAGAATAAAAAACAATTGTTCTGCCCTGGCCGGTTCGGCTCAGCGGTTAGAGCGTCCACCTGCGGTCCGGAGAGACCCGGGTTCGGTTCCCGCTAAGGGCATGTACCTCGGTTGCAGTTTGTCCCCGGCCCTGGTTGGTCATGTGGGTGGCAGCCACTCGATGTGTCCCTTTCACATCGATGTTTCCCTCTCTCTCTCTTCCTCTCTCTCCCTCCCACTCTGTCTGTACAAAAAATGGAAAAATGTCCTCGGGTGAGGATAAAAAAAAAACAAACAAAAAAAACAATTGTTCTTTCCACATTCTCTTAAATTTCTTCCTTATTGTCCTTCCTTTAATTAGTTAAGCACTATTTACCATTCACTGTTCTTGCTTGTTTTCTCTGCAGGCAGACTTGGTACCTCTATGTAGACCCCATGTCTAGCACTGTTTCTTGCTATCACCTGTAGTCAACAATTATGCTCATTTTCACTTCCTTACTCTGAAACCTAAGGTGACTCTTCACTGTCCCTAAAAGTGGTCCTCAGATATTTTTAGGTTGCAAGTGCTTATCAGTAAACCAATGTTTACACACACGTAATTTTTGTTATTTATATACTATTGTATATCAATTTTATGTAAATTATAAACATCTACCAAAATAGAAAGTTTAAGATGATGACATGAAAAGTATAGAGTTTGCAATATTTTCTTTCTGTACCTCTTTTTCTTTTTTATCCTCACCTGAGGACATTTTTCCATTTTTTGTTCAGATAGAGTGAAAGGGAGAGAGAGAAAGAAACATCGATGCGAAAGGGACACATCGAGTGGCTGCCACCCACATGACCAACCAGGGCCGGGGACGAACTGGTACGCGCCCTTAGTGGGAACCGAACCCAGGTCTCTCCGGACCGCAGGCCGATGCTCTAACCGCTAAGCCAAACTGACCAGGGCTTTCTGTACCTCTTGAATAGCCCATTCTGTAGGATAAAATCCAGGTTCTTTAGAACCATAGTCTTCAAACTTGAGAGTACACAGCATATAATATTAAGGGGCTTAATTTCCAGATTCTGACCAGGGTTGGGGATGGAATCTACCACCCAGGTACGTGCCCTTGATCAGGAATCAAACCCGCCACCCTTCAGTGCTCAGGCCGACACTCTAACCACTGAGCAACACTGGCCAGGGTGGTGGCTCCACATTTCTGATGAAAATATATGCAAAATATCCAATATTCAATATACCAGAAATGTCATCAATTGTAACTATTTCATCTTCTGATGACTACTACCTTAAAATGACATTCACAATATTCATAACCACCCCAAACTTTTTCTGGTCTTATCTCCTGTCAGTTCCCCTCAGGCTTCAGCCAAACCACACTCATGATGGTAGGCACTCCACTTGTGGATGTGCTCATGCCAGTTCCTCCACTGGAAAGAGCATTCCCTCCCTTTTCTGTGTGTTGAATTCCTATCTAACACCTACTTGATCTGGGGCACTAATTAGGTACTGAGGATGCAAAATGAACTTATAGCCTTGGCCCCGTTTTCATAGGACATAAGATTCTAGTATGGAAGACAGACAGATTAGCAGTGACAATATGGTATTACAGAGCTATGATGGGGAACCATGAGGTATTGGCAACTCAGCAAGGGCACCCTCCCTTGGGGGGGTGTCAAGGAAATCTCAGAGGAAGTGGTAAAAAAGCCAAGACCTACTGATGGGCAGGACGTTTTGTAGGGAGAAGAGAGAGAGGATTGATCTACACCGACAGAACTAAAGTGAGTTGAATTGGCATTGTTAATGCAATTCCTCTGTGAAGTCAGGATTTTGACCATGAGATACCCTTACCTAATTCTAGGGCCCAGATATAAATTTCTACCAAGTTCAATTTATTTCATGTTTTTGAGAGAATGGTCACATTCTCTCTAAGTCCCAATTTAGAATAGGCTGGAAGTCAAGGGAGAGGTCATCTCTAGAAAAATTTTCCCTCACTATTTGCCAAACACAAAATGTTTGAACCCCAACCTCAATTGCTGGGGGAATGAGTAGTCTTTTTATATTGGGTTAACCAGAAATAGTGCTCAGTGAATACTCTTGGGATGTCTGTGAAGAAATTGACAGGTAGTTTGTATATGTGGCTTGTTCTGAGGGTGGACTCACCCTCTAAACAAACAAAATGAAATAAGAACGCCAGGAGAGAAAACATTCAGTTTCCAGGACTGCCTTGTGCCTGAGAGGAAGAGGCTGTGAGGACGCAAGGTATCTGGTTCTCACTGTCCACGTCTGATCCCTAAGCGAGAGGCCCGAAAGCTCCTTTCCTGAGAGATGTACAGTTCTCCACTTCAAGCCACCACTCACAGTGCTGATTTGTTATCAAGCTATTTATTTCTATGAAAGACTTTCCTTTACAAACACATTAATAGAAGAGAAGTGTGATAGATGTGGCATTGGCCATCAAATATTTCCTACACTGGTCACGATTTGGTTCCCAATAACTCTTTGTTCATTCCAAACAGAAAATATACTAAGTTTTCTAGTTCTCTAATACAGTCCACCCATGTACAATCACAATGGATTTTTATTTTATTTCTCATCCTATTTTCTTGGTTATCTTCTTCAAGCACCCATATGTAGGGTTAACATTTTCTCTATGACATTATTCACTGTTGCAGTAGAATCAGTAGGTCTCATTCATGAGGGCTTAGTTATTGAAGCACCTAGGGATGTCCTTATAAACACTGACTATATATGGAAGTCATATAACAAGGACCCCAAGGATTACATAACCAGTGAGGTTCCAATAGGCTATATTGTTGGTAAAGCTACTTCATCTCTTTCAGGAAAATTATTATAAGTTCAACTCAGAACACAAAAAATTTTGTTTAAAATTTATTATCACCTGGCTGGTGTGGCTCAGTGGATTGAGCGTCGCCCCACGGACTAAGAGGTCGCTGTTCAATTCTTGGTCAGGGCACATGTCTGGGTTTTGGGCTTGATCCCCAGTAGGGGGTGTGCAGGAGGCAGCCAATGGATGTGTCTCTCTCACATCGATGTTTCTATCCTCCCTTCTTTTCGTTTAAAAAAATCAATAAAAACATATTTTAAAAAAAGTTGTTATCAAGTTCTGGAGGGTCAGAGCCATGCTGGATAACATCTTTCCATTACAAATGTTTCCTATCAGTGATACCATGTTTTTCCAGATGGGTGGGCCAACTGTAATTCTGCTCTAAAATTATGATTTCTGCCAGTCCCCCAAGCATTTTATGATGATGGCCTTTCTTTGTTTGTTTATTTTTACCCTGAAAGCCAAGGCTTTGAGAGCTGGTTGTAAGCATCTAGTAGCACACCTCTGGATAAGGGTGATGAGTCCCTCAGCTTTTCATCGATACACATTTGATATTAGTACACCTTGGAGGCTAAATCTAGGTAACAAAAGGACAACACAAAGAACAGCTGATGGGCATCCTTTCAACCCTCAGCAGAGTCCCAGCCATCTTGTTGTTTCGCTGCTGGCCCCACTAGCCACACAGCCTGTGGCTACATGGAGGAATGTGGAGGGATGCATGATGCCTGACCAAGTGGGGCTGGAATAGAAACCAGGTAATTGTGGCTTGAAATGGGTTTGGCTTGGACATGGGAGATCCTATTCCTCCTCCCAGCCCACTCGACTGGCAGAGGGTCTGAGCTAGGCATCTTTCCTTAGTTCAGGCAGCTGCAGCAGAGAGGGCCCAGGGCGGGGGTGAGTTAAATTTTGCCCACCAGTGCTGCTCCTGACCTCTTCTGGTGTCCTCCTTGGTGTCTGAGAATTCAGTGAAAGTGAAGAACCCCAGAAACATGTACACTCATATAAAATGGGGAATATCTGCTGCAACCACAGGAGGGAAGGCAGCCAAACTGGAGGCCAATGTGTAAGTACAGGAGGAAAGTGATTCCTTTCTTTCTGTTGTTCAATTTTATTGAGAAATAATTAACATACAGCACTGTATAAGTTTAAGATGTAGGGCATAATGATCTGACTTACATGTATTATGAAATGATCTGATTATGGCGTTTAAGAGTTTGCAACAATGAAGTCAGGTTTATATTGATGTATATAAGTGTGTTTGCAAATAGGTTTGCACCTTGGGGTGGAAAGGGCCTGAAGTTTCATAAATAGAAAAATCTTCAAGTAAATCAGAACAGACTTAAGAGTTTGGAAAACGGTAGCAGGGCTTAGTGACTTAATAACAAACCACCGCCAAGGCCACATTTTAACACTTCCCTACTCCCAGATTAATTTTGTTTCTGTCTCCCTCTTCACTGTTAAAATTCCTTGCATTCAGCAAAATCAGTTCCATTAGAGAATAAATACATTGTGACTCCTGTTCCTGATATGTACAGTAATGGAAAATACAGTTTTAGTTTACAGCCCTGCACATGATAGACGGGTGGGTGTAATGAAATGAATTATGCTTCCTCTTCTCCCAAAGCCCCACGTTTTTCTAGCAAGACACCTAAAAAACATATGCCACTTCATTTATGCCAAGGAATTCTCAAAACTGAGACCATTTTCTTGTAGAAGGTCAGCTTAGTCTCATTTTTGATAAGTTGACTGAATGTCAATGCTACCTTGGTACCAGAGTCTTTCCCAGGCAAAGGTTGGGCCATCACCTGCAACGCGGTCTCTCCTTCATGGGCAGGGCCTTGCAGCGGGGCGGCGCGGCCGGCAGATGGCGCCGCAGGTGAATTTTAGCGAGCTGCTCTGTAGGCCTGCAGAAGAGTCTGGAATAAACAGGAAGATTTTTTTTTTTAAGCATTCTAATTTTTCAACATATATTGCTTTCTCTGTCTCTCTGTTTCTCTCTCGTCAGAGGATATCTTTATTTTACTAAGTTGAAATTCATTTGAGTTATTAAAAAAATTTAGTGATTACGCAATACCAAATACTTTTTTTTTTTTTTAAGGATTTCTACCCTTTCAAAGGACATAATTTCCAAGAATCATAAACTATCACAAGGTCATAGTGGTTCAAAAATGCTAGCAGGCAGCAGCGCTGGCTGCCTCTAAAAGACCAGCAAGGCGTGGCGCAAGGCAGTTTCGCTGGGCCGCGGCGGAAGTGACCTTCGTGCGCGGGGCAGGGCGGTGTCTGGGGAAGCCCCGAAAATAGCGCCGTCTGCTGGTGAAAAGGGAGAGCCAAAGCCTGCGGCTTCGCTCCAGCGAATGCTCAGACCGGGCTGACACTCCGTTGTACTCCTGCAGGACACAGCACATTGGGCCTCCACCAAACAAAACTGAAAGTCACGGGCACAACCAGAGCAGCCTTTGTGTTGATAAGAGAAACCTAGAGGTTCATAATGGTTTTGGTATACAATGTTTCAAAGGGTTAGGCTGTTTTTAATGCTTCCTAAAGCATAAACGGGGTGGATTTGGTTTATGTGGTATGATTGTTATTTAAGACAATTCTAAAAGAGAGTGAAAAATAGAACCTGATAGGGGCTCTCTTTCATTTATCTTATCCTGCTTTAAGTTATTTACAAAATATTAAAAGAGGTTATCAGAAGCATATTGGAGAAACAGACAGAGGATTGAGGTTCGAAGGTGGTGGGTGTGCTTATTTCTCACTATGGCCCCTCATTAAAAATTTTTTATGGCCCCTCATTTTTATTCCAGGATTGTTGCAGTGCCATTTTAGAGTCCCTCCTCCTCTCCCCACTTCCTTTTTCTCTTCACTCATTTGACAGGAGCCTCTGCAACCATCTGCTCAGAACACGTCATCAGCATCCACTGGGAGAGAATTGTGGTACCACCTTTCTCCCCCTATGGCTGAAGCACACTGAAAGATGAAATGCACTTCTCCTCTTGAGCCAGCGCGACTGCTGGGAATTGTAACTTGCAAGATGATGCCAAAGTGCAGCTTCCCCATTTTTATACTGCATAGAGTTTTATGCTGCCCTTCATTAAACAGATGCTCTCTCTCTCTCTTTTAAAATAATTTTTCTTTATTGATTTTAGAGAGAGAGGAAAGGGGAGGGAGAGAGATAAAGACATCAATGAGAGAATATCAATTGGCCACCTCCTGCATGCGCCCCACTGGGGATCAGGCCCACAACCTGGGCATGTGCCCTGACTGGGAATTGAACCCAAAGAGCTCTTGGTTCGTGGGTTGATGCTCAGACACTGAGCCACACCACCAGGCAAGCTGATGCTTTCTCTTATAGAGTTCTGTCCTTCAGGTTGCCCAAATGATGTGATAATAACCTTTTTGTCCCTTCCACTTACAGAGATTCAGTGCATTAAGTGTTAGAATTGTACATCTCTGTTTTTCTTCTGGTAAGGGAGTGAAGACCCATAAGTGGACAGTTTTATTTTGTAGGAGGCACCTGCAAGAAAGCAGCATGAGCCATGATCAGCCACAAAGCCAGAATCGTAGCATACCGTTTCAACCCCCTACCAATTAAAACACAGAGCTATGAATGCTTTCCATTGAAGAAAGGATGCATTCAGGCTAAGGGAAAGTTTCTAAAATTGTGCTTGCACAGTAGCTTTTAAGACTAGCCTTATGGTGACATACTCATTATAATAGTAAAAAACACACCCCTGAGTGGAGATTTAAGATGCTAATGAGACATGTGCAGTATGTCAAAACATGTAGCCCCACTGTTTTACCAGCTGATGCCAGCCCACCAAAAGAGACCTGAAAGATCAACCAGGAAATGGACTCACCCAGTGCTATATAAATGCATTCGGTGGCGGTTCTGGGAGCCACATCTGCTTTCAGTGTGCACTCCCTTGGTGCATCAAGCTTTGACTCTTCCCTCTAGGCTTAATAAACCTTTTCTGTTTGTTGTTTCCCATGATTTCTATCCGGGGAAAGGCAGAATCCACCCTTCGGTTGGTAACAATTTGGACTAGTCCTGCTGTTTATCAGGTCTCTGTTCTCTGACGTGAAAATTCCCATCTCCCATCAGGGCATAGCTATAGGCATAAATTATAGGCCTTGGTTCAAAATAGGGCCCTCTGTTTCATCCAGCAGCACCAGAAACACCATAATTAGGAACCCAGCTGGAACAGAAGGCTTCTTGGGGGTCCTGGAGAAGAAAGAGTGGGCTCCCAAGTCCTGTACATGACCACTGGGGCTGTAGTCTTCACAATCTGGATCCAAGCAGATGAGCACCAAGAGTTCAGTGTTTGGAGGACCAAGAGGAATGGATATAGTAAGGGTGTTAAACAAAAAATTTAACTTCCATGGCTGAAAGTCTTTTTAAAATAAAGGGTTAAGGCCCTGCCAGTTTGGCTCAGTGGTAGAGTGTCAGCCTATGAGTTGTGGGTTTGATTCCGACCAAGGGCATGTACCTTGGTTGCGGTTCGTCCCTGGCCCTGGTCAGAGTCATATGGGAGGCAACCAGTTGATGTGTCCCTCTCATATTGATGTTTCCCTTTCTCTTCCTTTCTTTCCCACTCTCTCCCTCCCACTCTATCTGAAGATAAATAGGAAAATATCCTCGGGTGAGGATTTTTTTTTTAAAAAAAAGGACAGAAAAATAATAATAAAATAAAATAAAGTGTTTATAGGCCATTGCCAGCAAAATGAAGAAGAATGGCCCTGGCCAGTTTGGCTCAGCGGTTAGAGTGTCGTGTCGGACTGCGGTCCAGAGAGACCTGGGTTTGCTTCCTTCTAAGGGGGCACGTACATCGGTTGCAGTTTGTCCTCGGCCCTGGTTGGGTTGTGCAGGTGGCAGCCACTCGATGTGTCCCTTTCACGTTGATGTTTCTCTCTCTCTCTCTCTCTCTCTCTCTCCCTCCCTCCCTCCCACTCTATCTGAACAAAAAATGGAAAAATGTCCTCAGGTGAGGATAAAAAAAATTTTTTTTTTTAAAAAAGAAGAAGAATGGTTTTAGGGCATGGAGTCTAAACCACTAGCAGCCTGGCTAGGTAGAAAAGACAATATGTCCATCGTCCCAGAGCCTGAGTTTTGCATGTGTTTTTATAGATCAGGTATAGGGGAGACAGGTGCAAGCCATTCTGAAAAGATTTACATTAGCTATAGACAAAAGATGGGAGATGGTGAGCGTGGCTAGTTGTCAGGCAGGTGCAACAGAGTCCTTGAAGAAGTGTTTGCACCTGTGGATTAGCTGTGGGCAGCAGATTGGAAAGTTCATGTGTAAATGACGAGTGGAGGCTCCTGGGGTTCAATGGCACCTGGCTATTCTCTCTTTTGGGTAATCTTGGAAATAGCCACCTAGAAATGAATCCAAAATTTCAACAGATATACAGGAAATGTGAGCAGTCTTTTGTCAGAGCTGGTCTACAACTTTTAACAGGCTAAATGTTCTGTCTCTTTCTCTCACTTTCAAGCTGCTGTAATTTTAATTTAGAATATCTCTAAATTTTTTTTCTTTTCCAGGGACAGGATCCAAGATGATGCCTGACATTTGTTTATTTGCAGAGAAACTGAAGTAAAGGAGAGGAATGTCTCCCTGACTATTACTGTGTTATAAGTGTCCTTGGGGGAGAGCATACGGAAAGAGGACAGCTGATAACATTCACATTGTGCAGGCAGACACACGTCTTCCCACATCCCCAGGACTGCTGAACCAGCTCTAACCCTCTCAGCTGCCCTCCTCAAAGGCAGTCAGCTCAGACAAAGCAAAGTGGATTCTCCAAGGGGGAGGGGTATCCCCTTTCTCTTTGTTCTTCCTTGGAAAATGGGCTTTTTCTCAAGTTTCATACACCAGCTGCTTTTACCTCTTGCAGGAGGGCAGAATAAATTCATTGCCAATAATGATTTGAAAAGCATATTTTTGGAGCCCTGAACTCTGCTAGTGAAAAGCGGGGTCAAACTATAGAATTCTAATGTGTTGCAATCTTTCATTCTGGGTTTCAAGGCAAAAATTTCATAAAGGTGCACCTCTTTATTAAATAAAATTAGAAATAAGAAGGTCACCTTCAGAAAGGGTGGTAGAGACAAAGGTGTTTTGAATCCCAGTTAATCTAATTACATATCCTACCTCTTACACGTAAGAATCTCTTCTTCACAGAGGTATGATTTAATGAGCAAATTTCTTTGTCTGCTAAGAGATCCCTTCAGCAGTATAAGAGCTCTGAAAAATTACACCTTTTCACAATGTGATTTCTTTTCTTATAAGAATGATTTAACATAGCTCCTTTAAAACTAAAAACATTCAAAATGGTCTATCCCTGATTTAAGTGATTTAAGACAAAGGGTGCTTGTTCCTGAATAAGCATGCCACTGTCCAAGCACTCAGAGCATCTGCTATCTGGACTGATTTTTTTTTTTAAATGTTGGGTTCTTTTTATAATTTTTTTTCTTCCTCATGGGAGGACTTTTTTCCATTCTTTATTCAGAGTGGGAGGGAGAGAGAGAGAAACATCGACGTGAAAGGGACACATCGAGTGGCTGCCACCCGCATGACCAACCGGGGCCAAAAAATGTTTTAACTTATTGATTTGAGGGAAAGGTAGAAAGAGAGAAAGATAAATTTTTATTGTTCCACTTACTTATGATTTCATTGGTTGATTCTTTTGTTCATCCTCACCCAAGAATATATTTCCATTGATTTTTAGATAGCGTGGGAGGGAGGGAGGGAGGGGGGGAGAGAGAGAGAGAGAGAGAGAGAGAGAGAGAGAGAGAGAGAGAGAGAGAGAGAGAGAGACATTGATTGGTTGCCTCCCTCAAGAACCTGACCAGGACTGGGGATCGAACCTGCAACCCTCCAGTCCAAGGGCCGATGCTCACACCGTTGAGCAAAACCGTTAGTTGATTCTTGTATGTGCCCTTACTGGGGATCGAATCCAGAACCTTGGAGGATCAGGATGACACTCTAACTAACTGAGCTACCCAGCCAGGACCCTGGACTGATTCTTAAACCAAAGCACACATGACTTCTGCACTTGACAGCTGAGAGCTTGAGATGGCCTTTTATGTCCAGTGGAGCCTGCTGGAATGGGGTTACACACACAACAGAAAATAGGCTCTATGGGTCAGAGAAAGATGACTGGGCTGAGGTGGACTAGGCTGACCTTTTGAAAATACTATAGGTTTATTTCCTAGGGGGTTACCCCCTCACCCCCATCAAAATAAGTACTTTCAGTCCCTTCACATGGCATCCTCAGACTCTTTTTTATTTATTTTTATTTTTTAAATTTTGTTTTCATCCTCAGACTCCTTAAGACAGTTCCTACTCTTTGGGGATTTTAATCAATCGATAAATATCAGCTATTTTGTCTGGAAAAACAGAATATCTGTGTGTTTCTACTCAAACCTTAGACCATGTGGAGAGCAGCTCCTCACCAGCTCCGGGCGGCCTCATTTTCAGCACTCCCAAGAGGAAGTGAGAGCAACCCCAGCTAGGAAGCCTGCCCCGTGTTAGCCTATGATCTAATGGCTCAAGTTCAATAGATGAGACCCTGGCCAGCTTCCAAAATAATCCTGAAGCTAGATAAGGAACAAATAAGCAGATGTTAAAGGTATACATGTATATATCCTTATAATTAACAGAAAATTTTGATAAAATAGCCACTGGGCATGTATATCCATAATACTACCCTGTATTTATGTTAATATCTGTTACCCAGGGAGCCTATAACAGAAAGCCTTTCATTTGACAGATTACAAATTCTTTCCAGTATCAACCTTGTACATTAAGGCACTTGATCTTAACAACCGTCAGCTCTTCCTTTATGTTTCACATAGTACTCAGCAGGTATTAGACATGCAGTACATGCTCAGGGAATGCTTGCTTTAAAAAAAAGAAAGAAAGAAATTATAGACTAAAGGGACAATGAATGGCTGCGCTTTAATCCTGAGATCAGGCCTGCCTTTATCATCACATCTGAGGAAACTGGATAGTGATACTTTATAGACAGAAAACAGAAGTGAGGATATTTCAACTTCTCTGATTTACAGTGACAGCAGCTGACTTTCCTATATACCAGAAACTGTATAAATACTTTACATACATATCTCATTTAAACCTCACCACAAACCTACAGGCTAAGTTTCCTATTATTACTGCCCTTATTTACATATGACAAAACATTACCCAAGTCACACAACTCATAAATAGCAGCATGAGGACTTGTATCCAGAGATCTGTCAGTCTCCAAAGGAACATTCCTGCTCCCAAATATCTAATAGCAACATTTGTAGCTTCATGTACTAACTACCCTTCTTTGAGGAGTTGCTACAATGTAATATCTGAGCAGGAAGGGAGAGAGAAGGAAAAGGATAAGCAAACACAATTTATAACTTACATGTCTCAGTATGCATGGTTTTGGTGGTTTCTCTATGCATTCTCATTTCATCCTCACAGCACCCTGTCAAGTGTGTTATTTATACTATTTCTTGTGTATAAGAAATATTTCTCTGCAGAACAGGTGGGTTCAAAAAAAAAAAAGTAAAGGCTAAAATTCTGCTCCTGAGGGCAACAGATCTACTGATAATACTGTGCCTGCCCTAGGCCTCTCATTTCAGCTCAGAGCGATGGGTAGGTACTTCTTATTTTCCTTCCCTTCTTATTTATTAACACTCCAATGAGCCATAAAGCACATGCCTGTCTCTCCATGTCCCATAAAAACAAGTATGGTTAAATTTTGACTTGCTATGTCACTAAGGCATTTCAAAATCAATGTAGATAGAAAAAGTAAAAGTGACAGTGCATAGAATGCTATGTAATAATTAAAAATAATGAATTAGCCCTGGCCGGTTTGGCTCAGCAGTTAGAGCGTCCGCCTGTGGTCCGGAGAGACCCGGGTTCGGTTCCTGCTAAGGGCATGTACCTCGGTTGCAGTTTGTCCCCAGCCCTGGTTGGTCGTGCGGGTGGCAGCCACTCGATGTGTCCCTTTCACATCGATGTTTCCCTCTCTCTCTCTTCCTCTCTCTCCCTCCCACTCTAGCTGTACAAAAAATGGAAAAATGTCCTCGGGTGAGGATAAAAAAAAAATAAAATAAAAAATAAAAATAAAAATAATGAATTAGATTTAAACATATTGCCATGAAAAGATCTGCAGGAGGCATAGTAAGTTAAAAAAAATTAAAAAGCAAGTTGCAGAATTAAAAGTACAGCATGGCACCACTTATGTTTTTAAAAGTCACACACACACACACACACACACACACACACAAAATGATACAAACACACATAAAAAACAAGTTTGTTATACCCCAAACTGATAACTGGTTTCTTTGGGGAGAAGGTCTGGATCCAGGATGAGGTGCATAGCATTGTCAGATTTTTCCTTTATCTTTGTACAAGATAATTTATTCAAATACATGTGTGTAAAGAGAAAAAATAAAAATAAAGGATAGAAAAGAAACAAGTGATGCTGTTAGAAAATAAAAGGTTAACAATATGCAGTATAGGTAAGTGGTACAAATACACCAAACTAAAATCTACTGCTTCATTCAGGTCTATAAAAGATCAATAAATTAGAAGAAAGTCCTCCTGTTGGCATTATTATTATTAAACTGGATGCTTTTAAAAATGTAATGTCTTCTGACTGTACCAGAAATGCAGTGCTGAGAAGTATACCAGACTTGGAGCCAGACGGTCTGGATTCAAGGCTGGACTCTGCATTTCTCTGTAACCTTGGGCTAATTTCTCGGGGCCTTACTTCCCTTAATTTATGGAGTAAAGATGAGAGTAACGTACTTCACAAGGTTCTTCGAGGATTAAATGAGATAATACACAGGAAAGAATAACAAAATCATGCCAACTGAGACTTATAACCTTTAAATTGCATTTATATTTACTCTTTTCTCATTCTTTCTCTCCTACTTTAGAAAACCATTTTTTTTTCCTCAAACCTTTACAATATCTGAGTGCCCCACACTGAGGCATAATTAAATTAACAAACTATTAGTCTTCGATATATAGGCCTTTGTTATTTGAGTCTTTAGATTATGCACATGCAGTTTCTAAGCTTCATTCCTGTGTTCAGCTATTTATTTAAAGGGATATATTTATTTGATTCCATTTATAAATATACCCTTTTCCTGTGAAACACATTTTTCATGCAAGAACTAAAATATCCAAATTATGTAGTCCATTTAAAGTATAAGCTAAAAATATAATTTAATTTTTTGCATCTTAAAATGTGCTTATTTGTAATTTCACTGAAATTTCAGGCTGCTCTGAAATTTCAAGAATCCAATGATAAGCCTTTTAATAAAAAGGGTTGCAAAAGTAATAGGAAAAACATTAATATCATCAATATAATTGAACACAAAAAGAAACATACACAAATTAATAAATATCAATTGCATGCACATAGCACAGTGTCCACACTACAGGATGTAACTAGTTTCAATCAGAGCCTCACCTTTGAAACACAGCCATGTTCTCTTCTGCTTTTGCTGGATATGCATATGTTAAAAAGCTCGGGGACCTGAAGGCTCCTGGTGAAGTAAATAAGAATCCAGTTTAAGTTGTTTTGCAATTTGAGTTCAGCAAGGACACATCTGAAGGAACCAGGTCCAAGCACACAAAGCACACAGCCCTTCCAAGCTCCTCCACACGGTTAAACTGAGCTGTCATTTTAGAGCTGGGCGCCCATTGTTCACTTTCTTCTACTCTAATTAGACTTGACAGATTGCTCTTTCTAGCTAGACTGGCTGTTGCCAAGAACAGAGAAGAGATGAGGCTGACCTTGTCATTATGCCCTTGGGATCGGTACCCCCAACCCCCATCTTAGTCCACAGACCCTGCATCCCCAGCAGCTCAAATCTGTTTTCCTTCTCCTCCAGCCTTGTTCTATGTCCCCCGGCAGTCTCAGCCCACTGACTTTTCTTACTTTCGACAATATGAGACTCAAACCCTCACAGGCTGTGGAAGGGGAATAAGTGCGCTCTAAAGTCTTTCATGTTAATACTCTGACCCTTGTATTTTTCTACAGGCCTGGGGGACAAAGCAGATCAGCTTTTCTTTTTCTTTTTTTAAGAATCCTCACTCGAGGATATTTTTCCCATTTATCTTCAGACAGAGTGGGAGGGAGGGAGAGAGAAAGAGAGAAACATTGATGTGAGAGAGACACATTGATTAGTTGCCTCCTGCACAACCCCAACTGGGTCCAGGGACAAACCACAACCGAGATACATGCCCTTGGCCGAGATCGAACCCGGGACTCTTTGATCCACCAGCTGACACTCTAACTGCTGAGCCAAACTGGTCAGGGCAAGCAGACCAGCTTTTCTAAGGGGAAAAATACTATAGTTCCACCTGAATAAAAAAAAAAGAATATTGATTGCTAATGAAACAGAGCTTGGGAAGGATTCAGGCCCCTGCACTACCTCCACGTGTCAGAAGCAAATCCCTTTCCCACTCCCCTCAGTTTCCACATCTTTAAAATGCCATTAATAATCCTCAAATCTTTATCATATCAAAAACATGTTATAATGATATTAAATAAGAATTAGATAATAGCCCGGCCAGTGTGGCTCAGTGGTTCAGCATCGAACCATGCACCAAGAGGTTGCCTGTTCGATTCCTGGTCAGCGCACATGCCCAGGTTGTGGGCCTGATCCCCAGTTGGGGACAAACATGCAGGAGGTGGCCAGTGGATATTCTATATCATCAATGTTTCTTTCTCTCCCTCTCACTTCATCTCTTTCTAAAAATCAGCAAAGAAAAATTATATTTTTAAAAAAAGAATTAGATAATAAAATGATAGAACTTGCCCTGACTGGTGTGGTTCAGTGGTTAGAGCATCAGCCTGTGTACTCAAGGATCTCAGGTTCAATTCCTGCTCAAGGGCATGTACCAGGGTTGCAGGTTTGATTGCCAGCCCGGTTGGGTTACATGAGGAAGGCAACCAATCAATGTGTCTCCCTCACATCAGTGTTTCTCTCTCTTCCTCCCTCCCTGCCACTCTCTCTAAAAATCAATGGGGACATTATCCTCAGGTGAGAATTAACAAAAAATAAATAAATAAAAATAAAAATAAAAATCAATGGAGAAATATCCTCAGGTGAGGATTAACAAAATAAACTTAAAAAAATAAAATGGTAGAGCTGTAAATGACCTTAGAGTCCAACATCTTCCTTTGGAAGATGAAAAAGCACAGGCCAAAAGAGGGAGGCCACATGCACAGTGTCATGAAATTAGTTCACAGACTTGAAACACCTGGCACTGAGCAATAGCCTGCTAATCAGCTTTGTCACTAACCTGCCTTTCTTAGTTTATACTATTTGGGGGGGGAGGAATATGTGCCCCTAGCAGAAACCGGGACTCTCTGGTCCACAGGCCAACGCTCCAACCGCTGAGCCAAACTGGCCAGGGCTATACTATTCTTTTTTTTCTTTTTTTTATCCTCACCTGAGGACATTTTTGCATTTATCTTCAGACAGAGTGGGAAGGAGAGAGGGGGGAAGAGAGAGAAACATCGATGTGAGAGAGACACATCGAGTGGTTGCCACCCACACAACCCCAGCCGAGGCCGGGGACAAACTGCAACTGAGGAACATGCCTTTAGTGGGAACTGAACCCAGGACTCTCTGGTCCACGGGCCGACACTCTAACCGCTGAGCCAAACCGGCCAGGGCAAATATGAAGTACTATTCTTGATAATAAATCCTATTGGCCAGGAAAGCAACTTTTTTGAGAAAGGAAGTCTCTTCACCCAAGGGCTATGTTTTCAGAAATGCTTCCTTTTACTGAGAATCCAATGGCCTTATAATAAAACCTGAGTCACCCAAAGCCACATGATTCTCATAGGGGCATAGGATGGAACTCAACAGACTGGAGGTCTGGGGTCCTGCTCTCAAATAAGAATGGCTCTGACCTTGACCTAAATCTGGCTTTACATGGCCTCAAGAGCTGTGAGCAGGAGAGACTGTTAGGAATTTCTTCTGGGAACAAATCTACTGTTTCCCAGGTTGTAATGTAAACCCATTCATTTATCATTAATTCACCTACTCATAAGCATTTATTAAAAGCCCATTTTTTCTACACACCTGGGGGCTGATCAAGCTAGTACAATGAATAGGACCCAGCCTCAGGGAGCTTCAGAAGGAGCCAGCAGTGCAAACACTTATGTGCAGTGGGGCACCATGGGGACCAGGATGAAAGGAGGAGATGTAGTCAAGTTTCCTTTGGTGGGGTTTAAGGAATCAGAAAAACATCATAGTGGAGGTGATACTTGAGCTGCACTTTGGGAAATAAACCCATTTTCCAGGTGGAAGTGAGGCAGATACATGGTATTCAGACAGAGAGTGAGTCTGGTGTTGTTGTTGGTTTTTTTGGGGGGGTTGGGGTGAGGAGTTGGCCTGCATAATATGAAGAAGCATCAACCAAAGGTGAGATTGGAAATTTAGGTAGAGATCAGTGAAAACATTATATGACACAGGAAAAGTCTGAATTTTATCATGGCAGCTCACTGGAACCATTGAAGAGTTTCAAGCGGAAAGTAACATGACCCAAACTGCATTTTAGAAGAATGGCTCTGATGACAGTATGCAAGACAGACTGGGGAAGGGGCGAGAAAGAGCAAGACCCAAGGCAAAGAGACCGCGGGGGAAAACTGCAAAATGTAGGTGAGGTAAGATAGCTGACCCGATCTCTTCAACAAGTCAATGGGAAGGATCAAAGGGAGAGACTATTTTAGTTTCCAAAAGGCTTCCACTACATGCAATGTATAGACCTGGTTTGGATTCTTGTTCAAACCAAACAACAGTAAAGAGAAAACTTTGAAGACAGAATATTAGATAATAAAAAGACATTACTGTTAATTTTGTTAGGTGTGATAATGTTACTATGGTAATGTAATATAGCATAATGAAGTGTTCATGAGTGAAAAGTCATGATGTCTGGATTTGCTCTAAAATACAGTAGGAATAATATATGAAGTAAATATGGCAAAAATTTAATAACTGTTCAATCCAGATAATGGAAATATAGGGGTTCATTATACTCTGTCTATTTGAAAAATTTTAAAATAAAAATCTAACATTTTAGGCAAAGGATAATGAGAACCTAAATTAAATAAGTTATAGTGAAAATGGAGAGGATGACAGAGCTATGAAAGAGAGAGAAAAGGCAGAATTAACAACGTGCAGTGAATGGTTAAAAGTGGTCACTGTAGCCCTGGCTGGTTTGGCTCAGCAGTTAGAGCGTCAGCCCGCAGTCCAGAGAGACCTGGGTTCGGTTCCCGCTAAGGGCACGTACCTCGGTTGCAGTTTGTCCCTGACCTGGTTGGGGTTGTGTGGGTGGCAGCCATTCAATGTTTCTCTCTCACATCGATGTTTGTCTCTCTCTCTTCCTCCCTCTCTCCTTCCTGCTCTGTCTGCAAAAATAAAAAATAAATAAATAAAATAAAATAAAAGTGCTCACTGTATTTGAAGAGTTAAAGTGACGTCCAGGTTTCTGCTTGGATGCCTGGGTCCATGGAAGAGTCCATTCTGTTGGGTACACGGAAGTGGAGTTTCAGTGCAACATTGAGTTAATGCTGCCTAGTTGAACGAGAAGATTTAAAGCTCAGGAGAGAGCCTGCAGTTGGCATTGTGGATTTGAGAACTGTCAGCTCACCAACACGTAAGTGGTGATTCAAACCACTGGAAGAGCACTGAAGGTGAGTGAGGGAAGATGGCTGAGGGAAAAGACCAAGACATGCTTACATTTAAGAAGTGGAGCCCTGGCCAGTTTGGCTCAGAGGTTGGAGTGTCAGCCTGAGGACCAGAGAGTCCTGGGTTCGGTTCCCGCTACAGGCACATACAAAAAAAAAAAAAAAAAAAGTGGGCCCCCTAATGTTCTCTCTCTCTCCCATTTTTTTCATGTGAGAGGCAACCAAATTTTTGGTGGCCTTGCTTCAGCAAGGCAGAAAAAAAAAGGTGTGGGTGCCCTGGCTGGTTTGGCTCAGCAGTTAGAGCGTCGGCCTGCAGACCAGAGAGTCATGTGTTTGGTTCCCACTAAGGGCACGTACCTCAGTTGCAGTTTGTCCTCGGCCCTGGTTGGAGTCATGTGGATGGCAGCCACTCGATGGGTCTCTCGTACATCTATGTTTCTCTCTCTCTTCCTCCCTCCATCCCTCCCACTCTATCTAAACATAAAATGAGAAAAAAAAAAAAAAAGTCCTCCGGTGAGGATTAAAAAAAAAAAAAAGAAATGGGGAAGACTGCCCTGGCCGGTTTGGCTTAGCGGTTAGAGCCTCAGCCCAAGGAACAATGAGCGAGGGTTCATTTCTGGTCAAGGGCATGTACCTTGGTTGTGGTTGGTCCTAACCCTGGTCCAGTCACATGGGAAGGAGCCAATCCATGTGGCTCTATCACGTCAGTGTTTCTGTCTGTCTCGCTCTCTCTCTCCCTCATTTCCTCCCACTCTATCTGATGATAAATAGAAAAATATCCTCGAGTGAGGAATTAAAAAAAGAAAAAAAAGAAGTGGGGAAGAGAAAGAAATTGCAAAAGAGACAGAAGAATGGCCAGAGGGCTATGAGGAGAAACAGGAAAAAATAACTTCTGGTGAGTCTGTCAAGAAACAGTGGGTCGCCCTGGCCAGTCTGGTTCAGTGGTAGAGTGTCAGCCTGCAGACCAATGAGTCTCAGGTTTGATTCTGGTCATGGGCACGCACCTTGGTTGCAGTTCATCCTGGCTCTGGTCCGGTCGTGCAGGAGGCAACCAATCAATGTGGCTCTATCACGTCAATGTTTCTCTCTGTCTCTCTCTCTCTTCCACCCTTCCTCCCACTCTATCTGATAATAAATAGAAAAATAACCTGTGGTGAGGAATAAAAAAAAGAAAAAGAAACAGTGGGTCAACAGAATCAAGTGCCCCAAATTAAAATATGAAACCCAGTGGACTTAGCATCTGAGTGACAATTATCAAAGAACTTTCAGGAGAGTGCAATGTGCTGAGAGTGAGTGAGGGGAGAGTGAGTGAAGTCTGGAAGATGGGGGAGGGCTGGATTACACTGTCCTCACAAGAAGAGGGAATTGGCATGGAGGGAGCTAGAAATGGTTGGCAAATGGGCAAACTCTGGATCCATTAGGAAGGGGGCTTAATAGAAGTAGATTGCTGAGCAGGGAGTGGGGGTAGAGGGAACCCACACATTTTAATTAAGGCAAGGAGGAGGAGAGTAAAGAGATTAATAGAGATGGTACAATGAGACCAAGATTCCAGAGGGCACTATGGAGAGAAGTTACAAGAAGGTCAGCAGAGTATGAGAATCAGGAGGGCAGAAGAGAATTCTTTTGACCTCTGGTTGGTGTATCTTCACAACCTCTTCCACGGTCTTCCACTTTCAGTTCTCCCCACTCCATACCATCTTAAAGGCATCAAATCAGAAAAACCTTTATAAAGTACAACCTTGTTCATGTCAAACCCTTGCCCCAAAATTTTGATTAGCTGAATTAAGTATAATATAGGTATTTAACACCCTTCCATAATCTGATCCCAACCTACTTTTTAAGCCCAATCTTTTTGGGTTTGTTTGCTTGTTTTTATTTGTTTTCCTTTTCATGAACCTTCCTTCAAGAATGCCAGGCTAGTCACTATTTTCTGGACATATTAATTACATGAAATGTTATAGAAAAAGGGCTGAAAGTAGAGAAAGACAAATATCACATGATCTCACTTATTTGTGGAATATAATGAACATAACAGTCTGAGGAATGGGGTAGTCCCAGAGACGTGGAAATCCCCAGAAGAGGGGGTGGGGGGAAGAGATAAACCACAGAACTTATATGCATGTATGCATGAACAGTGGACATGGACAACAAAGCTGGGGACAGGACGGGGAGGGGGAATATCAGTGTGGGGGGAAAGGAGAAACATCTGTAACAAAAATAAATTAATTAATTAACTTAAAAAAAAGAAAAAGGGCTGAGAAGTGTCTAGAACAAAGTAGCATTTACTAGGTGTTAGTTTTTGGATACTGAACTATATAATCCCCCTCCAACCATTTTATGCAGTCTCTTTTCACATTTCTTCATGTCCTACAGGAAGGTTCAGCCCAGGTGTCACCTATTCTAGAAAGTCTTTCCTGGGTTCTCAGGCTGGGCTATGGGGTCCCTTGTCTGGGCTTCTGCAGCACTCCCATCTCTCTTGCCACTCAGCCTATTAGAGTTGCTTATATGTCTTCTCATTAGAATATAAGTTTCACAAAGGCCAAGACTGTTTTTGTTTTGGTTTTTATTTGTTTTACCTACCACAATTCTTGGTACTATATACAGTAAAAAAGAAAAAAGATATATCGAACAGAACTTTGTTCCCTTTCTTCTATTCTTTTCTTTCTAATTTTTTTTCTTTTTTTTCTTTTTTTTTCTTATCCTCACCCGAGGACATTTTTCCATTTTTTGTTCAGATATAGCGGGAGGAAGAGGGAGGAAGAGAAAGACAGAGAAACATCGATGTGAAGGGACACATCGAGTGGCTGCCACCCGCACGACCAACCAGGGCCAGGGACAAACTGCAACCGAGATACATACCCTTAGCGGGAACCGAACCCGGGTCTCTCTGTACCGCAGGCCGACGCTCCAACCGCTGAGCCAAACCGGCCAGGGCCTAATTTCTTTTTCTTTATTGATTTTACAGAGAGAGGAAAGGAGAGGGAGAGAGAGAGAGAGAGAAACATTGATGAGAGAGAACATTTATTGGCCGCCTCCTGCATGTCCCCCTACTGGGGATTTGGCCCACAAACTGAGCATGTGCCCTGACGGAGAATCAAATGGGCGACTTCTTGGTACATGGGTTGATGCTCAACCACTGAGCCACATCAGCCAGGCTCTTTTCTTTCTTTCTTTCTTTCTTTCTTTCTTTCTTTCTTTCTTTCTTTCTTTCTTTCTTTCTTTCTTTCTTTCTTTCTTTCCTTCCTTCCTTCCTTCCTTCCTTCCTCCTTCCTTCCTTCCTTCCTTCCTTCCTTCCTTTCTTCTCTCTCTCTCTCTCTCTCTCTCTTTCTTTCTTTCCTCACCCGAGGACATTTTTCCATTTTTTGTTCAGATGGAGCGGGAGGGAGAGAGAGAGAGAAACATCGATGTGAAGGGACACATCGAGTGGCTGCCACCCTCACGACCAACCAGGGCCGGGGACAAACCGCAACCGAGGTACGTGCCCTTAGCGGGAACGGAACCCGGGTCTCTCTGTACCGCAGGCCGACTCTCCAACCGCTGAGCCAAACTGGCCAGGGCTCTTTTCTTTTTTTTTTAAGAGTAACTTTATTGGTTTTAGAGAGAGGAAGGGAGAGAGAGAAACATCAATGTGAGAGAGAAACATCGATCAGTTGCCTCCCATACACCCCAGCTGGAGATCGAACCCGCAACCTAGGTATGATATGAACCCACAACCTTCTGGTATATGGGACTATTCTCCAACCAACTGAGCCACAGTGGCCAGGACTCTCTCTTTTTTTTAACTGTTTTTCTATATAATGTATGATATGCTTTCTTATGTATAGTCTCACTCTGAATGACAGTGGACATTGTTTTTGTCACCCCAGTGTCCCTTCCTGTTCTCTGGCAACAGCCCTGATTTTCTTTGCTCATTTTCTGCTCGTGGTCTTTGTGATCTGAATGGGGCTCCTCCCACCCCTGGCCCCAGGGTGGAGGACAAGACACAGGCCTAAATCAGCCAGTTATTATCCCATTCCTGTGGCCTCACTGATTGGTTTGGGTTGGCATGAGCTCTAAGCCTTCCCAATCTGAGTAAATAACAAGACTTTTCTCAGAGTTACTGGAAGAGGGGCTTCTCTCTCTCTCTCTCTCTCTCTCTCTCTCTCTCCCCCCCCCCTCTCTCTCTCTCCCTCCTGGACATGGATGGAGTCAATAGGGGGACAGTGCTGCTATAATCATGTTGATACCTCAAGGAACAAGCTTGTTTGAGAATGAAAACAATACTTGGAGAGAACACAAGTAAGAGAGAAAGAGAGGGAAACATTCCTACTGAAGGAAACAGAGCTGGGTTCAGAAAAACAAACAAAAAAGCCTATTGCTTGTCAGTTTGTGTTGGGTTTTCTGTAATTTGCAACAAAACCATCTTAACTGATATATTTATGGGCATCTAGTACATTGCTTGACACATGAGACTATTCAGTGAATGTATGTCTAGATAAACAAGTTGTTGCGAGGAACAGCAATTATTTATTTCTATAGGGCAATTTGGTAAAATGTATCTACAGCCTTAAAAAAGATCATCCATCTCACTTATATACGGAATATAATGAACATAACAGTCTGAGGAATACACTAGACCCAGACACATGGAAGTAGGGCACAGACTGACATCCCTCAGAAGAGGGGATGGGGGGTGGGGGAGTTGGAAGAGATAAACCACAGAACTTATATGCATGTATGCATGACCAATGGACATGGACAACTAAGCCGGGGACAGGGTGGAGGGGGGGTAGGGTGGGGGGTGCCAATGGGGTAAAAAGGTAAAATATCTGTAACAAAAAAATAAATAAAAATTCA